GTAAAGAAATTTTGTTGCAAAAAATATTACGTCAACCAGGATATACAGAAGATATATTTCGATTTGCATTTTGTTGCGAAAGATATATCCAAGTAGCAAGATGATGTGGTATTAGAGAGATGTTATTAAGATGCTCGTCTTGCTACTTTTGGGTATGATATTTTGATTAGAAAATGTATAACAATAAATAGTAGTGATTGATTATCCGCCTGATATGAAATTCTTTACGATTATTTCCTATATCTATTATAGCCAATTTATACTTACTTTATTATCAAGGGCGTCCAGGATTTTTTCTAAAGAGGGGCATGATCTAAATTTTTAGTACGAACTACCGGGAGGAGCAAATGTCCGAACGTTGTGTATCTGTGTTGTACTTTAATTCTTTCACATTTAACAAACATTTATTTTTTTAAATAAGAAGTAAAAATGAGAGAGCAAATTCTAAATTTTTTTGTACTCGTCCGATTACTCGAAGGGGCATTTGCCTACCTCCCCCCTGTGGATACCCAAGTTTACTATTTAATTTAAAATTTTGATGAAAGGGATTTGTTATGTTATGATGACATTTTAGCCCGGATACCATAAATATCATAAATACCCGGAAAAAATTTCTCATAAAAAATTCAAAATAATTTCGAAAATGGACTCGAGGTTTATTAATGCGTTTGACCGTATTTAATACATGTTAAATGTATTAATGCTAACAGATATGTGAATAAAATAAATGATTTTTATTATTTTTAATGATTAATGTGATAAATGGTTAGTATTTAATTTAATATAACTTTAAGCCTATTATTTTTTATAATATGTATATAGTTCTAAAAATATTTAACATTAAATTAATATTTCCAATTTACAGATATTATTAGAAAAAGTAAATAATATGACAAAAGTATATTAAAAAGACAATTTTCAATAAAAAAAGAGTAAGATTTTTATTAGACTCTTTAGTTATAGTTAGTTATAATATTACTATTATCTAATTATTATTTTAATTATTACTATTTTATAATATTATAATGTAATATTTTATAAACAATAATAATATTATAAAACAAGTATAGGTTTAAAATAAAATATCAAAATACATTATAGAATACTTTCGAATAATTTTTGCACGAATAAATAAAGCAACCAAAATAGGTGATTGACTCAAAATCGAATCGTTGATTCGAAATTCTCCAACTATTCGATTTCGAAACTTTTAGATTCGCAGTAATTCGATTCGAATTCAAATTATTCGCACATTTCTAGTTAATAGTAATAGTTAATAGTAAAAATGGCATAAAACCGTAAATAGATTAATTTTTTAAAAATATTTAATAGCCATGACTATTTTCAGTTATTTATAGAGCATTTTATTATGTTTGTATTTTTTAATACATTAAAAATTAAAACGAGATGTTGCAAATCTTAAAGTCTTAAAGTATTCTTATCTTAAAGTAAGATGATATTACACTTCACAGGATTGGGATTCAGACCAATGCCGCCGACGGAGAATGTGGAGAGCACTTTGATTTGGTACAGAGGCACCGATAGTGAAAACTTCAAACACTGGGTTGATTCACTACAAACTTTCTTAAAAGGTAAATAGTCATTTGTTATGAGGAATCATTCAAGATAGAACGTATTGTTTAAATCCTATTCTAAATGAATTCTAAGATGATGTCCAAAATTTTACACCTACATACCTATTTCTATTACTTCAAATTATTTTCTATAATTAATTTTCCAATTGCTAATTAAATATAATTTGATCATCATTAATATTGATTGTAATATATTTTTCATGTAATATTTCAGATTATATAACACCTGGGTCTGTTCTTGGTCTTGGCGCTAACATTAATAAATGCGATTATAATCAGCCTCCACAACCTGGAAAAGTTTGCGATGTTGATGTGAAAAACTGGCATCCTTGCACCAAGGAGAACAGATATAACTATCACAAATCCGCTCCTTGCATTTTCCTTAAATTGAACAAAGTACGTACATTATAATATAAAATTAATTAATAATCTAATAATTTGTGCAACAATTGCATTTATTGGCAAATATTATTTTCAATAATTAAGCTTCAAATATTTTCAATAACTACAATAAAACTCTAATTATATCTGACCTCCATTTATACAAACAAATTCTCAATTCCAAACGTACAAATTCGTAACTCTTACTATTCGAACCATTTAAGTATTAAGAACTTGACTTGAATTTTCTGAACGTCAGTTCCTATTATCACAAAATGTACATCAGCTTCTTGTTATCAAAACTATTAAATGTTGAATCTCTATTATTTGAATTATTTATAATAACTACTTAGCTTATTCCTTGACATCGGATAAACGGAATTCTACTATAATGTCAACTAAAGTCAAGTAAATGTTAATATTACATACATTTAATAGAAATTAATGTAAGTATAACAATTTTATATTTTTTTTTTATCAGATTTATGGCTGGAGACCAGATTTTTACAACGATACTAAAAATTTGCCGGAAAAGATGCCACTCGATCTCAAGGAATACATCGCTACTCTGAAGGGAAATAACTCCTTAGAACTCAACACAATCTGGGTATCCTGCGAAGGTGAAAATCCTGCTGATCAGGAAAACATTGGACCAATTAATTATTTGCCGCGACGCGGTTTTCCTGGTTACTTTTATCCTTATGAAAATGCCGAAGGTTATTTGAGCCCGCTGGTTGCAGTGCACTTTGTCAGACCACGAAGTAAGTACAATATATGTATTGTATACTATATATGGGTGATAATCTCGAAAAGTGCTGAAATTAAATAACTTATCATTTTTTGTAATCAATAGGATGAAGTGAATTAAACTATATTATAGAAGAAAGTTGTTATTTTTATTAGCATACATATGCAAGAAAAATATACCGTTATGTTCTTATTATATTCCAGCAAACACGCAGATTATGACTGCAATATTGTAGTAGCATTGTAACATTTTTTCAATATAGCTGGAATGTTGCAATGTTGTTGTAACATTGCAGCATAATTTGTAGCTTATAATCCGTGTTTGCTAGAGTTATATAAATTTGTTTTCGAAATCTTCATTAAGATTTTGTTGATTGCAAAATCATTAGGAGAAATTAAGTCATAAATTTTTGCGGCATGCATTATACTAATAAAAATGACGATTTTTTCTGCAGAGTAATATTTAATTTAGCTTATTCTATTTATTTATTATTAGACAACCGCGCTATTTCGTTTCAGCAATTTCAGCAAGTATCACGATACCGATATTAAAAAATGGTGTACATGTAGTAACGAAAAAATATTATAAAAACGCATAAACTAAATTAATTTTTTTATTTCCAGCTGGAATTCTGATAAATGTCGAATGCAAAGCGTGGGCAAAAAATATCAAGCACAGTCGTAACGACAAAATCGGCGCAGTCCATTTCGAGCTGATGATAGATTAACGAAATCTGAAAACAGCCGTCGGCTGCCTATGCAAGTCTCTTAAAGTGAAACGAGTGTCTTCGGGACATTCGAGATAGTCATTAGGCAAATCTTCATCTTCCAAATAACAAAAATGTCAGCAAATATCTCACCGAAGTCGACGACATGCCATCGACTTTCTGGATGGCATTAATCGTATAAAACAAAAAGAGTTCTTACAATAGACGTTCTCAAACTTTTTAATGGATTATACATAATAAAATAATCATAAATTTTGAGAGATTGCATATGTATATGCTGAATGAAGATATGTATATCGGCGAGGATAACGACTAAGAAAGAAGATGCCGATATTAAGAATTAGAGCGATTTTTGAGAGATCTTCATTAATGAACATCACTTTTTAGAATATCTTTTACATCAAATCTGCTGTTTTAGATTTGTCGTTTTAATAATAATTTATTCGTACTAAATTTATCTAAAAAAAAATTGTAAAGAATGTTTTTAGCACGCGTAAAAGACATTTTTTATTCTGATAATTAAATGATCATGTTTTATATCTGTTATTTTGAGTTTGTCACACACAATTAAATTAGTATTTAACTATCTCAAGGATTTTAAGAATGTAACAGTTTTATCATTTATGATATTTATATATGACAAAGTTTTTTTTTTGCGTAAAAAACCTAATATAAGAAAGTTGAGAGTTAGTGTTTCAAGTGTCTGTATTACTAATTTTGACTGTATAATTTGTCGGCACATTATTTTGCATTTATTATACTTTATACTTTATATATTGCCGTTATTCTCGTTGATATCTAGTGCGTATTTGCAGATTAAGAAAGTTTTTATTGCTAATTAAATACGTTTTTGTTTAAGTGAAAATTGGGAATGAATGAAAGAAACAATGGAATCTCAAAGAATTATAATCGATTATCTCTGATGAAAAAGATTCTCATAAAATATCTCATAATATTTTTAAGAATTTATCAAATCTTAAATTTATGAAAATTTTTGAAAAATATAAACTTAAATTTTTTCAGATTTTATAAGTTATAATATAGAAATTTTGAAAAATTATATGAAAGAAATTTTTTAAAGAATTTTTACTAAGAATGTTTGCCTTCCTTTGCTCCAAAGCGCGAATTTAATTCGCCTTTGTGCAATTAAAAATCGAGAACAAATGAAAGAATAGAATAATGAAATCTCAAAGAATTATAATTGTTTATGCGTGCCTTCCTTTGCTCATAAGCGGAATTTATATACACAAACCGATCAACATAATAGCATATAAAGGAATCTCATTTGAAATTATTTATACTCATATACGTATGCATATATATATATATATATATATATATATATATATATATATAATATTAGCTGGATAGACTTTTTTATGATCTGGCGTGCAATTTTGAAGACTTTTTCAATATTCAATTGACACTAGAAAATAATACGTCCTCAGGTAATATCATATTTTTTACCTTATTGGAGTGCATAATTTTGTCAAGTAGAAATTAAGGATTGCGAAATAGATAGTATAAATATTTCTTATAAATAAGAAATTTGACGCAAAACTGGCAAGTATGTCAAGCATGATAATATTTAAGATATTTGAAATCTGATTCATATCTGTAAATATTGAAAAATTGGATAAAATATTATGCAGATTAAAAAAATTGTAACGTAAATTAATAAATTGATGCTATGCTATATTATACAAACGTCAATATTGCATATAATAAAAAACAGATTTTTAGTAACAGAGTATAACATAAAAAATTTGAATCAAAATAAAAAAAATATTGACATATATACCCTATTTTTTAATTCTTATTTGTTTAATTAAATTTAAGTGAAATTTTAACTTTAAAATATTGATTATATATGTTTTCTTTATAAGGAAAAGAAGAAAGAGAATATAGTGTTCATAGAAATTTTTGAAATATATAAAAATAAATAAAATATAATGACTTGAAAAGAAAATATATTAAGCCAGCAATTATAATAACTAAATGTCTCATGGCAGGATTAATGACAAAAGATATCGCTCATTTGTAACAATAATATAACTCAAAAAATGAATGATTTTCCAGGAAATGAATTTAAACATTTTAAATCATAAAAATTTTTAATATTAATTTTGAAATGCAATTTTAATATAATAACAATAACTGACTTGAGAAAAGTATGTTTTTTCTTTTTTTTTTCTTTTATATTTTTGTTCTTTTGCGAACAACTAAAAAAAATAACGAGATTTTTTTGAGTTATATCAAGCTTGTAAAAACGAGCGATATATGCTGTTTGACTCAATATTAGCTGTTGATATCGGTTTGTTTTTTATCACGTAATTGTGATTTATTTGCAATTAAATATATACACGTGGAGATATTTTTAAGAAATGGCAGCTAGTAAGTTTCAGCTTTCTCTCGGAACCTATATTACATATATATTATACAGCGGACAATCCATGTATAACGGTACATTGTGATCAAGTCAAAACTTGTAATTATTTGAGCACAATTTTTAGTTATAATAACAAACGAAAGTTGAAAATTTCTATTTTTTGATTTATTCCTTTGTTAAATACTCGATTCAATTACAATAACAATATACATACAATATAAGTAAATAAAAATAATATATAACTGTCGTTACGAAAATGAATCGGAAAATAATGTTCTCAGAATTATAAAAATCATATTTATTACATAGTAAATAATTAGAATCAGATTTTTTATTCTATACTAGCATAAATACATTTTTTGTGATAAAATGCGGGATACTGATTACTCTCATGCAGCACAAACCTTCCAAGAGATGTTTTAAAGATGTCCATAGAATGTCCGTTCTAAGAACGTCTCCCTCGGATAAAGTGTGCTATGTGCAGGGTTTTTATCATTTGTCATTTGTCTCTTATTTTTTAGCTTGGCTACGGTACATAAAAATATTTTTTTCCATTATTACCAATAAATATGAAATAGAAAAACACCTATATATAGTCACGCATTTCTACTATACATACATTTTGAGAGCTTAATGTCAATGTGAAGAATTTTGTGGCAAAACGAAAGAAAAAAAACAATGTTAAAATCAATGACTTTCCATATTGTCAAACAAATATAGCATTAATGTAACCCCAGAATTTTATTCATGTGAAAAAGCCCGGCCGTAATTAGGCAAAGGAAAGTTTAAGTTTAGTCGACTAGATACGAGACAATATATGTGTACCTAATATTTCTAATAGATTATTGTCGTGAAATATATATATATATATCTGATAAAAATATTAATCTTGTTACAATTTACTTAAATTTTCTAACATATACAGAGTAGACCAGGAGCCAAGGAATGGGATAATAAATTAACACCATCATATAATCGCAATGAATAAATTAAAGATTACACAATGCTCGTCCTTATTTAAAAAGATGTTTGTACTTCTACGTCGCGAGTTATTTTTCCAACAATGTCATTTATTTAAAAAATAATAATTATTATTATAGAACGTGACATTCTTTCATTCTGTACAATTTATTATTATACCTATACCTCGATAAGTACCAGAAGGCTTTGCAAGTAAATTATTCACATCAACGATTCGAACATACCTATGTTTTGCTCGATTCTAATATTGATACGTACAAATAATTCAAGATAATATGATAATAAGAAGTATATAGAATATTTAGTCCAAATAATTATACAATTTGCATGTTTAACACTTCCAAATAATATTTTAATAATATTTTAATACGAAAATTGGTTACTTAGAATTTTGGATGACCTATTTTCAATTTTTTTTTAATGCGACATTTTAATCATTAAATATTTAAATATTTAGATTTTTTTCGTTTTTTTTGGTTCTTGAGTTTTTTATGTTTACTTACAAATAAGTTCTTTAATACTCTTATACATATATTTAATCCTGATATTATTAAAATTTAAATTTTTATACATATGTATACATATGTATATTCTAAGAATTGAGACCGAATCAATACTTTTAAAAAAATGAAAATTAATATAAAGGTAAAATAGAGAAAGAAACTTTTATGTTTATATTAACTTTTTGTAATTATAGCATATAATCTTAACATAAAATGCATTATGTATATTTTAGATTATTTAAATTCCAATATCTTCATTTTTTATTCTTCATTTTTAGATATTGTAGATCCTCAAATATTATAAAAGCCTTTTGATAAAAATTTTTATTAGAATTCTTCATATATAACATTTAAATATTTCTAACATATAAATTTTTAAATTTTTCAAAATTTCTGTACAATTTTATAACTTTTTAGAAGATTTTTAAGATTGTTCATTCTATAATAATTTCGGAAAAATATAAAATCTATAAAAATTTAAGATATTTTTCTGAAATCTTCATAAATTAACAATAATCTTTATAATCTTCATAATTGTTTTTCTTTATCAGGGTCATAAAAATTTTTGTTTACATTATACAAAAGAATTAAAAAATCATCTTTTTAAAAAAAAAGATAATTCTTAAATCGCAACTTTATCAAAGTAATCACAGTATAATAAATTAAAATAGCAGTATGAGAGAATCAATTATGGTTTGAGTAACAATAATGGACTTATTCAAGCCGGTAAAGTTGCTAGTCTCGACGAATGAGTATTGCGTATCTAAAAATAATTCGTACATTATTAAACGTATATTCTTTTAAAATAATATGAATTATAGTTTTTGCAATAAAAATTATATAATGGAAATTATCATCGTTACTAGAAAATAACGTACAATACTTTATAAAGTTTTAACTACAGTTTTATATATTTATTATATATATACATATATATATATA